CCAGATAACTCAGTCCCTTCCTGTGTCACTGGAGGAACTGTAAGAGAGTTCCTAGGACAGAAAGTCCCAGGACACGCCTCCTCCACCACAGACATCTTAGATACTCCAGGTATCTCCTTGACCTCTGACGGGACAAACCAGACAGTTCTCAAAAATAGCTGTTATAAAGGATCATTGCATTCGCTGTCTCTGGCCACTGAAGATGAATTTGTAGAGGCGAAGCCTCCCTGCTGAGCCAGCTCAGTGGTGGTTAGCCAAATGAGAGGCACCACAGAGAAGATTACGCAAGTTGGGGCTATGCTATTGCGTCTGTATGTTTGACTAGAGAGGAATCTTATGTTCCCTCACACATAACAAATCCAATCTCCAGCTGAGACAGCTGCAATTTCAATTCACTCTTGCTCTTGCAGACCCCAAACCTCAAGGTAAACATTCAGAAAAGTGGAGAATTAAACCAAACAGGCTTCTAAATCTCCTTCTGTGCTGCCATGAAACTTATGCGTAAGAGAATCTCTCCATATACAGATTGTGCGTGAGGAGAAAAACACAGTTTAGGCCGAAGTTTCTGATCAGTCTGCCCCTTCTTTGTCTAACTTCTCAATTTTCTTTTCCTATCTCCTGACATACCCTCACATTAGAACTACAGTTCATGGCTGGAAGCGTCAGCCAACAGTATTGGCAAGCAGAGTGCTCTGAGGCAATGTAGATCAACAGAAACACAAGTTTGTCCCAGGGCAGATGTTAGGATTAAACTGGAGATGCAACAGAAAAGAGAACGTAACATTTTTGGGCCTGGAAAAATTTATTATCTCCAATATGTTAGGTCCAGTGCCACGTTTTCTGCTGTCTGTCATTTATTGCCCCCAGCTCTGCCAAAATCTGATGAAAAATACTGATTTAAGGAGTTACATTTTCTTGGTTGTTTATTTTCTTTCTGGTTTTAACAAGATTTTGCCTTCTGGTTCAGGAACCTCTGTGGTGTTTTTTAAAAATCCACTAGAAAAAAGATTTCTGACAATTTTTCATAGACTCTCCAGCTAAAAAATGGGGTTGATTCCAGATTTCACATTTTGATTTCTTTCAAATTGATTTAAAAAAATGCCATTTCTCTTATTAACTAAAAAGATTTCTTCACATTCAAATCTCAAGTAATTCATATAATTTTGTCAAGATTTCCTGTTACTATCTTGTTTAAATGTTTACAAACCTATCTTAGACAATTTGTCCTCTAACAAGTTTAGAGATGACAGTCATCCTCAGTCAGACATTGTAAGAACTTATTGATTACTGCAAAGTCACAAACGATGGACTGATGGATCAATAAACAATTTTTGTAAACAAAATGCAATTTGTCCTCTAACAAGTTTAGAGATGACAGTCATCCTCAGTCAGACATTGTAAGAACTTATTGATTACTGCAAAGTCACAAACGATGGACTGATGGATCAATAAACAATTTTTGTAAACAAAATGACATATTTTCTACTTTTGTGCATTTTATGTTTAACTAAGCAATTACAGTCAGTCAAAGAAAGAGATCTAAATTTCTAATGTATTGTTCTAACAACATATTTAAATAAAATTTTTCAAGCACTTTGCAAATTTAGCAAAGATTTTTTTTTATTTTTCAGAGATCCTTCATATATCTTTGTAAATTATGGTTACTACACGGAGTGGTAAGACATCATGTATTTAAGCTGACTGGTCTAGTGATTTAAACACATGTGCAAAATAGACTTATATGTATACTCAGGTTTGGGAGATCATTTGAGGCAGGACAGTGAGACCTCTTTTCAAAAAAAGGAGAAATGAATCCTTGCGTATTAGAGGAATTCTAGTCAAATTCACATTTGTCAAGTATTGTTTTTAAACCATCTAAGACTACTCTATATGGCTTTGATATATATATAAAAAAATAACACTATATACAAAAAAAATTCAGTGTGAATTAAGGACATTCATGACTGAGCCAACTTTATGGACAGCAACAGCTACATGTGCAAATATAAGACTTCATGCAGTACTAATAAGTCCTCTCTCCCCCGAAATCAACCAAGCTGTGCTTTGCAGAAACAGCTTAAAATGAAGTTGCTTTTTGTCTGTTCCAAAGTTTACCCTGCACTAGCAATAAATTTAGATTATTTTTTGCCTCTCTGGCAAAATTGCTTTCAACCTTTTGCTTGTATCTCAAAAATCAAGAGCCCGTCTTTCAATTTTCAGACTACTATTGACTGAAGCTAAAACCCCTTTGAAACTTAATTTCATTTCCAGGCATACTTGAGAAGAACACACAGTCAGAAGCATTTCTCGGACTTTGCATTAAGTCGATGGATAGAACAAAATAGCGCCACCCACATACTTTCAGAGAAAGCAAAGCAGAGCTCCTTGGAGGCTGTGGGATTTTTTGATCCCCTAAAACATTTACAGCTATTGCTTATATTTTTTTTCCTGGAATTTCAGAGATCTTTTACTAATAAAAAAAAAAAAAAACACAAAAGCAAAACAAGTCTAATCCCCAAATTCCTAACAGTTCGTGTCAAGAGAAATGGTGCCAAACTCTGGGTTTTCTCTCTTGATATAGTTCTGGATTGTCTATGTATTTCAGGGAAGTATGGAAGGAGAGAAACTAACTGGGGGAAAAAAAAAAGGGAAAAAAAAGGAAAACTACTATCCAAAATGAAGTTTTTCTGCTTTTTAAGCAGTTCAGATTCAGGACAGGAAGTTCTTCTAGACACTAAGACAATTCAAGTGGATGTTTATACAATCAAGGGGCCACAATCATACTGCATGCTGTAGAAGCCTGCACTGTTTCAGGAAATGCTTATGAGGTGGCTCGGTAACATTAGCAGTCCAAAAGCACAACAAAATCTGCAAGTGAGAGCTAGAAATTTTGAAAATAATGAATGCAGAGTTCACCCCATTCAAGACTCCAAAATCTGCAGCAGAGGGAGAAAAGGAGTGATAAACAAAACCAAAATTTGTTTAGGGGATTTCGGTGCTAAATGCTATGTGTATTCTTTTGCTAGTTCCATAGTCCCCAGTTTTAAGGTGCAGATGGTGAAATCAACTGTAACAGTGGTTTACTACTTATGCTCTCTCTAGAGTTTTAAGTTCAAATTGCACCTATAAAAAATGGTAATTAGTCCTTTCTGGTTTATTGCTGTTAGGGGAAAGGAAGCAGTTTCAGTTAACTACCAACTAGACACCACTCCAGATAAAATATCCTAGATTCAGTACCTTATACTGGCTTTCAAATACCAAACTGAGAGTTCAAAGAAAGTAGGAAATGTCACCTTCCCAAACATTATGGACTATTAATTATGTCTTTGCAGTGAACTTTCTCAGTGCAATTAGTCTACAGACATGAAGATCATTCTTTATAAAAGACTATGGGCTGGAACAAGGTTAATTCTAATTTAAATTGTGTTAAGAACAAGACTGACTGCATTCAGACAGGTGAACAATTATCTGATAAGCAAAATATGTGTAATGAAGCAGATAAAATTGACTAATTTTAAAACAAGCATGGGTATGCAACAATGTATATGTTTTTCTTTTCTAACATACACACTGTTGTTTTCCTATGCTACCCTTTAACTATCTCGTTCTCTATGTAGAAGGGATTCATAAACAGTCAATCACATTTAGATGTAAGTAAATATAAGTAAATATGCAGCTGCATTTGACACAAATTTGACAGCAGCTTTGGAATGTGTGTCCTTTGGGGTCACTTAATAAAAAACTGCACAGAAGATTCCTGTCCCTTCGCTTTGACGCCACACCCTACTCATCAATAAAGCTGAATGCCTATTGCCCTCATGGTGGATGGTAACCGAGGGTGAGCAGGAGATCCCAGGGTGGAATTTCATGTCACGGTTTCTCTGGTGGCAAATGTCGTTTAAAAGATTTCTGATCACTTTTTTCCCAGACCTTGCCTTTCCCAGTGAGCTTATCACACCCTAGATAATACTCTGTAAAATGAGTAAGTGACAAGTTCCTGTGCAGAAGGTGCCACAGAGAGAGCTACGCTGATTCAACTGAAGGGGATATGTATTTCAGCATGGAAAATGAAAAGCCTCTTAAACTGATCTTGCTAGTGGTGAAAGCATACCTTAGAACAGTATCTTCAAGCACAATCAACAACTAGACAGACCCAGCCCATAATTTAAAGTATTTTAGAAACGTAGGACTGGGCCTTTATGTTTCAGCATCTTTTAAGAGAAATAAAAAGAAGACTCACTGAAATACTCATAAACAGACAAAATGTTTCACTTTGCAAGAAACTGTAGATAGTGCTACTTTTTATGGAGTGGAGAAAACTGGGCTGTGATTTCTTTCATTTTTTATTTAAGAATAACCTAATTCACTGTGTGTGAATTCCTCTCCCAGAAGGAAAAAAAAGACACTCCCTACTGTTCTGGGAATTAAATCCTATTTCTGACAGAAATTCAGATAACCGCCCTAAAGTGATAGTCAACTATTCTGGATCACCCAAGATAAAAATAAATATTTCAGTATTACTGTGCAGAATAATACCTTAAAGCCTCTGTGGTGGATTGACCTTGGCTGGCCACCAGATGCCCACTGAATAGATAGATGTTCTATCACTCCCCCTCCTCAACTGGACAGGGGGACAAAATGCAATGAAAAGCTCTTGGGTTGAGATCAGGACAGGAGATTACTTACGAATTACAATCATGGGCAAAACAGACCCATTTGGGGAAATTTAATGTATTGCCAATTAATTGTAACAGAGTAGGATAGTGAGAAATAAGAACAAAACTAAAAACACCTTCCCCCACCCCTCCCTTTTTCCCAGGTTCAACTTCACTCCTAACTCCTGAGTGGTGCAGGGGGATGGGGAATTGGGTGTCACGGTCAGTCTATAATGCTTAATCTCTCCCGCTCTTTCCTCCTCACACTCTTCTCCTGCTCCAGTATGGCATCTCTCCCACAGGAGACAGTCCTTCATGAACTTCTCCAACATGAGTCCTTCCCACGGGCTGCAGTTCTTCAAGAACCACTCCTGCGTGGATCCTTTCCGCAGAGTACAGTCCTTCAGGAACAGACTGCTCCAGCGTGGGTCCCCCACACGCCACAGTTCCTGCCAGCAATCCTGCTTCTTCATGGGCTCCTCTCCACGGGCCACAGTTCCTGCAAGGAGCCTGCTCCAGCTTGGGCTCTCCACAGGCTGCAGCTGCCTTCAGAGCATATCCATGTGCTCTATTGTGTGATCCTCCACAGGATGCAGTGTGGATATCTGCTATACCCTGGTCCTCCATGGGCTGCAGAGGGACAACCTGTGTCACCACGGTCTTCACCACAGGCTGCAGGGGAATCTCTGCTCTGGTGCCTGGAGCACCTCCTCCCCCTCCTTCTCTCACATTGGTGTCTGCAGGGCTGTTTCTCTCACGTTTTCTCACTCCTCTCTCAGCTGCTGTTAATGCAGCATTTCTTACCCTTTCTTAAATATGTTATCACAGATGTGCTACCAACATCACTGATGGGCTCAGCTTTGGCCAGTGGCAGGGCTGTCTTGTCTTGGAGCCGCCTGAAACGGGCTCTGACTGACATGGGGGCAGCTTCTGGTGCCTTTTCACAGAAGCCACTCCAGCAAAACCTTGCCACGTAAACCCAATACAGCCTCCACTAAGAATTTCTATGGAAAGAAAAAAAAAGGTCTGAAAAGCAAAGATACATATTTCATTGTAAATAAGGATAGTTCATCTCACATGCAGACAGTTGCATTTGTGCTACTTACAGACATATAACTGCACTTGAAAAAAATACACACTATGAAATTACAAAATATGATTCAGCAGACAAATACTCTGTATCTTTAAGTGCTTCATGCATACGTATACATAACCTGTGATGCATAATTTTTATTAATGGTGTCAGACTGACCCTGGAGTAAGGTCACAAGGTGTTCCCAAATTTTATAACTCTACATTTGGGATACAAATAAATATTAAAAAGACTGCTCAGCTTCACAGCACGGTATTTACTGTCCTAACGGTACGCATTTGATCCTGCATGGAGGCAAGGTTGTATTTCTATTGTATTGGTCAAAACCTGATAGAGTTTTTATGTTGATGGAAGTATGATGGACAATGACCATTTGGCATGATTTTAAGCTTCAGGACATAATGGTGATGGTTGTGTCTCTACTAACAGTCCTTTGCATGAACACAGTTGAGAGGCAGGACAACAAGGACTGGCAAAATTCACTAAATTATCATCTTCAAAGAAAACGTAAGAGTCTGATTTAAGGCTTACCATTCCCCCTATCCTTTTTGCTTCCTTTTCACCAAATTTTAAAACTTTCTCCTGGGATTTTCAAACTTGCCTTCCTTCCCTTTGAAAGCTTCTCCTACATTCTAGCCTTTTGTTTATAAACTTCGATTTCTTATCAACTTCTTTGTTCTACATGATAAGTCAGAACGCTCCTTATCTGATCAACACTATTGCGTTTGCATACAAATGGCTTCCCTGACCAAAGACAGTCAGAGGCCATAGTTACCTCTTAGTTTAAATATTTTTTCCAGGTTCACTACTTCCTTTCTTTCAAGAAACTAGGCAGCTGATATACTGCTAGATAATAATAATAATAATAATAAAAAAATACTATTTATATAGTCAGTAGAAACACATTTTTAAAATACTGTTCACATTGACCTCTTCTAAATATTTGCCTTAGAGTGAACTACATTGAAGAGTGACTGCAGAGGGAGTCCATAGAGGTAGCTCAAGGTGGATATTTGGTCTGGCAAATTCCATCCTAGGTTTAATCTCCTGAACCCATCTACTCTAGGTTTGATTTATTTAGGATTTTATTTAAATATTCTATTTGTTCTTCTGTCTTCAGCCATTTCATTTCTATAGACAGCATGACAATTATGGGCATGTTTCTAGTAAATCTGTGAATAATTACTGTGCAATGTAATCATGATCAATTTGTATCATGCAAATTAATTGAGAAATGAGCTAAACTTTAAACTGACTGAATGGCCCAGGACACAGAAATTAGGAGAGTAGTATCTGTGGGCATGCAAAAAGAATATTATTTGCACTCCAGAATCAAAGGAATTTCCTTTTTTTCAAAGTGGAGGGGGGAAAAAAAAAAAGGAATGCATAGCCATGCTTCACAAAAAATATTGCACTTACTCGGCCTCTTTCATTCCATTTCACACATCTCAGTAAGTAGGACCCTTGTTGATTAGTTTTTCTATATATGGTGTGAGTCCTGACTTCTAGTGAAGCCCAGGCAGAAGCAGGCAGCAGTCACTACTTGCACATGGGACTTGTACTGCTGCCCAAGTTGGCCCAAATGTTCCCCCAGTTATTGTGGATGGGGTTGTTTTTGCTCCTGTGTCATAGTTCTGCTGTAGATGTTTACTCCTCTGTGGTTTAGAAGCCTCACACATACATTGTTCTCACTTTTTAACTCTAAGCCTCAAAAAAATATTGCCTCACTACCGTGGTACTACAGAAAGAAAATACTGGTAAGGATAGGATTTGTGAATCTTACTAATGGATCCGCGATTTCTAATTCCTAATTAAATAATGTGTTCCTAATCCTTAATTTCAATCCAGTATTTTGTACAGAAGAGGAATGCTGATGTGTAGGGTGAAATTTATAAGGCACTCTTGGTTGGAGTCTTTTGTCATCCAGGTGAAGGGAAATTCAAAGGCATATCACAGCGGATTCCTTTCCTTGCCTAACTGTTAAGTCCTGCCAGACTGCTAAGCAGTAGTTTTCCTATCTGTCAGCTAATTATTTACTAGTGAAATGTCTAATTTTCCTCATGAGTGACTTCCTCATTCTTCAGTACTGAGGTGAGTTAGAGATCAGTGGCATTTTTATCTGCAGTAGAACTAAAGAAATGTAACCAAAAGAAATTATGCAAACAAAACCCTGCATTAAAGGAGTATTAAAAGTTGAAGAGCCAATCACTCCGTAACAAGGAAAAGTCAGATTGTTGTATTCTTATCAACCTTAATTGAACTCCCTCACGCATAAGCAATATGATGTTTCGGTTAACTACACAGTCCCTGCACTGTCCCCCCTTTGCTTCATATAGTGAAGATCATCCACTTTGGGCCTGTAGCTGGAATTTATTTTTTTCCATGTCGTTCTGTCTGAAGCCCCAGGACGCATGTGTAGTGCCCTGGTCGGATCTTGTTTTGATAGCTTCCCTCGTGGCAACGGATCAGCACGTGCCTGTATAGCGAGCGGCTTCTTCCCGTACATCCACGGAGGCCTCAGCAGAGCCATGAATCACGCTTCTGGGAACCCAGCTCTGCGCTTTTGCCAGGACGGCTCACAGGGGGAGCTCCCTGCAGAAGGTACGTTTGGTATTTCTTACAGCAACTGGGGCCCTGATCGCGTAAGTGATGAACGCCCTCTGCTGATTGCCCCGTCTGTACAGCATGACAACAGGTAAGCCCTCCTTCTGGGGAGCCGATCTCTGTGGTCAGACTGTGTGCAGAGCACTTCATCAGCCACCTAAAAAGAATTTCACCATTTTCCACCCTGAAGTGTTTCTACTCCAGCTGAGCAAGCCAAATTGCTTTGTGTGGTCTGATTGCTATCTTCTGCACAGTTGTCTTGTTTCCTCTACCATTGCTCCAGTACTTAAAGACATTCCGTTTGATATAAGTTTTGAATCCCTTTGATATAAATGGACCCTCATTATCACTCACTAAATACTTCTAGAAGTTTCTGTGTTGTAAATATGTGTTTAGGGCAGCTGTGACTGCTGTATCCCTGGCAGCCAGCAGTGCGTCTGCAGTTTTTTGTTGTGGTGTTTACAGCACAATATGAATTCTGTCCTGACCTTGTTAAAATTTATTTTTCTGCTGCATGTCTCTAAGCAGTTATTTAGTTTTCCTTGTTTTCTGTCAGTTTCTAGGAAGGTTTCATTCTCTGTGCCATAATGAAAACATTTTGTCCCTGTAAAGACAGATTTACTTGTTATTCACAACATTAAGAGGTGCTATTTCTGTCATTTTCAAAAAGCTTGTTAATAAATCTGGTATAACAGTGCTCCTGTAAATGCTGACTCCAACCGATAGACTCTGCTGCTTTTTGAAGTTAGCTTGCCCTCTCATGTTTCCCTTCTTTGTCAGATGACACATGCCCCAAGTCTTGGATGTTAACTTAGTGCTCATGTCACAGCTGATGCTCTAGAAGTATGCTATCTGTAGTTAGCATTTGAAATTTAAACCACACTCATTCTAGCATGTTATATTTTGTAAATACTCACATTTCGGTAAAATTATCCTAAATCACAAAAATGCTGATTTTGATTTTTAATCTTGCACAAAAGGTTGTGCTAAAACTCAGTAAAATAGGATGCAAATTACACAAGTAAAATGCATAACACTATAGTCATCTTTATAATATTTACAGAACACATACTCTACATATGCTTATTAAAAACAAACTGAAAATGGAACATATTTTTCTCCACAAAAAGCACAAGCTTTCCGTAAAATGCACTGCAGAATCACCCCCATGTATCACTTTTACATTGCTGCTGCTGCTGCATCAGTGACAGATATTCAGAAAGCAGATGGCTAACCTTCTGAATGACATTATTCATGTTTCCATAATAACGTTCTAAAGACCATAATGCTGCACCTGTTCTAAATTCTTCCTTTTTAAGGACAGAGTACTGTCAACTTTCAAATGTGCAGCTCTAGATGCAGGACTAACTGTGATTTTAATGGGACAAAAGTGTTTCATCATGTACTAACAATTCTTTTGTTTAATGCAATTGTCAGGTCTGGAAGTAGTCATTTATTACAGTTAAAGAGTAAATTTTCTGTTTCTTCTCCCAGTCACTTCTGTGGTTGCGGAACTGCCTCTGACCAGCCTAAAGACTGGAGTTATTTTTCCTTAGAGCAGGTCCCTCGAGCCATTCTGTCATGGTTCTGCAATCTGAACATGCAAAAAAGATGTTTAATTGTTACCCTGTAGTAATCTCATTAATTATATAGGATGCTTTCAGACCAGGATATAATCTACCAGTGAGTCTGACTCACTGTAAAGGTCACAGTGAGCCACCTTGATTCCTTAGGGAAGAGTTAGGAAAATGTAATTGCTGTACTGCATCAAAGTCAGGGTTCACTGAACCCTGTACGCTGTATATGATGCTGAGAGTAGCTCAAGTGCTTCAGAACTCTGTATATGACTCCCACGGGAAATACGGATTAATCTTCCATCTTAAATCTTGAAATTAAACGATAGCCTGAATACCCATTTAAATTTCCAGTT